AGTGGATGAAAAGCGAATGTCCTGCGCTTTAACCGGGTAGGTGAGTATAGAGGACCCACCAAGTAGAGTTGGAAAATTCTGATTCCAAACCAATGGTGTACATGAGCTCCAGTATCCTGACGAAACAAATGGCGTATAAACCAATTGTTGGTCGCCGGCTACCACGGGACTGCATCTCCTTACGTTGCTCCACTGCCTTGTGGATCACACCTTCAAGTCGAAGGCTCCGGATGTAGTCCTCCTAGGAAAACCAACTGCTTAGGTTAGGGTACCCGGGCAGCAGTACAGCCCCCATACAAAGCAAGTGACTTGTGCGGCGCATATGTATCAGGTGCCCCCTTGTGCCAATATTTGTGTTAAAATAAATAATAATAAAATAAATAAATTTTGATGGTCGCTCTCATTAGTATGCTCTCTTTTGAATGAATACTGGAGAATATAGTTCATAAATATTATAGGGAATGAATTGAAATATAAGATTTGCTAATCCCGTTAATTGTCAATAAATAAACATGAAGAAGAAGAATACTTATAACAGAATAAATTCTAGTCAATGTTAATCATACAATGAGTGCATAATTGCCCATTAATTCATTGATTATTGATAAATGCAATAAATGTGCTCATTTGTTGGAGAAATTGAGTAATATAGATCAACATTAGAATCATAGTAGCGCAGATGTATTCACGTTTCATCTTACTCAAGGTCTTCAGTTCAACCATTTCATCAAACATGCATTTTCATGTCATCTTATAAAACTATATTCTTAGTGTTCAACCTTTCTTACAATCAATCGTACAACAATTATTTCAACTAATTCAATACTATTATTACTACTACTACTTATGTTCATTTCATTCCATTATGTTGGTATGGTATAAAAACTTGAGTATTGAAATCATCAAGTCATGGTCTGATACTGATTATTGCAATTTGACCTGAATTTCACTAATATTATCAACCTAAAACACTCCTATGAAAAATTAGTCATTTTTACATAGTACTAAACTGTAATAATAACACTTACATTGTCAACAGCATCTTTCCATGAGTTTAACATTTCTTTAGTTGGGACAATAGACATTTGTTGATCTTTACTTAAAGTAGATGATGATGATGAAGATTGAACAGATTTATCACAATGTTCACAATGACATATAAAGAAATATTGTTGTTGAAGAAGTGTTACACGTTGAACACTTGATGGATAATGTAAATAATGCGGGCCATAACAATGAAATACTTCAGTATTAGGTAGAATTGGTTTTAAACAACGTAAAATTAAGTATGAATTCTATGTATAGGATAAAAAAGAGAACAGTACGGACTAATTTTTGTTGGAAGATAGTTTCATTTATTATTTCAAATTAACATAATGTTACTCAAAATAATTTAGAGAATTACAAATAGGATAGAGATGTTAGATCCTTAGAAATCACTTGGTGAAAGTCTCATTATGGTAAGTCAAATTTCTAATTCTCGAGTTAAAAGCGTTCGTTTTTACTTTGAGTTTGTATTTCCCATTTGGAAGGACTTTAAATGTCAATTATTTGTTTCCTCTTTTACTACTTTACTTTGTGATATTTTTCAAGGACATTTTTGTGCTGTAGGTATACTCATGAATTGTGTGTTTATTCGTTCGTGCTTCCGGCCTGCCCGTCGAAAATATATATTTTCCTGGCTGAATCTGATTTTCTCTCTCTAGTTAGCACGGCTGGGGCTCAGTGGAATAGTTTAACTTTTCTTATTGTTTTGTGTTGCTGACTTTTGTTCCGTTCGTCGGTCCTAGGTGATATTGTAGTCCTCACGAATAGAGCGGGGTTGACTAGAATTAATTATTATGGTAATTTTGAGTTACAGTTCAACTGACAGACTGTATGCTTTTTTCGACAATATCGAAGAGCAACATTTAACAATTATATTTATAGCTATTGTACACATACATAACCATCGATAGCTTCAACCAAAAACAAAACTCCGACGTGATACTCTCTAAAAAAAGTGACGAAATTAACTGAAAAAGAAGCATAGAATACAAAAATTATAAACACTTCTACATAGATAAGAATTTTAACATATGACTATTCTCAGGTTAATTCTTGATCTGATCTGTGAAATAATTTTATGGTCAACTATTAAAATTAGCCGAAGTTGAAAATAGCAAATACTGGATGTCAACTCAATGGTCGTTTAAAATTGACATAGCGTGAAGTTTAAACGTTCTAAAGGGTAGTAGGTGTTGAGGAATTGCAAACTATGTTGAGATAACTGCCGATTGCTTCCCGAAAGTCTAGCTAAAGTTGATTTACAGTGTAAAACATCTTCAAATTGAACATCTCCACAAATCTCCCTTCATGTTGGAAGAAATAGTTAGTATGGGATTGTGGAGATTATGAAATTTTACTAAAATTATTACCCGATCAAGATTAAAACATCAATGGAAACCCGGAAGCACTGGACGGTCGTATCGTTTCAGTATGAGAATCCTCGGCAGTGCGCATGCACGACCCTGCAAGCAGGAATCGAACCGTTGGAAGCCGACTCAGTGGTTTGAAGGTTAAGGGTTCGTGAAAGTCCTGGGTTTGATCCCTGCGTGCGGGATGGTGGATGCGCACTGCTGAGGATTCCTATACTCGAAAGAAACTGTGGTTCTGCGCTTTCAAGTTTTCGATGGTGGTCTAACTTATTTTGGCTCATGATTTCATTAAAAGAAATACTTTAACATTTAGTTCCTGAAAACTGTATTAAGGAAGACCTGAGACACATGTGTATTGGTTCAAGTTGCTACAACCAAACCAGTACAACGAGATGGAACTATCAGGAAAAATCTCACTATGATAGTAGAAGTTGGAAGAGTATCAATGATAGTAGAAAACACTGGGCTCAAAATCAAGAAGACAAAGAGTAAGTAGATTTATACCGTTTAAACCTATTCTGAGCCACTTCGTCCATCTCTAAACACTCGTCACTATAATCGCGAGGACCTCACAACCAGGTAGTCTGCACCTAGTTGCACGGCTCAGTCGAACAGCCCATGACTTCATAGAACTGATGTTAAATCTTAGTTTCATCACTCCATGGCTTTCTCCCAACTTACTTTTACACTAGCATACGCCACGATTATGGTTAGGCATCCACAACATAATACTGCGTAATAATTACAAATACAACTGTATAGCTTCAGTAAGTAATACTGTTTCAAAGATATTTCTTTCGTTCTCTTTGAACTCGATTTAAGGTATCGACATTAGAAAAGTAATTAAGAAACTTTTATCGCTCAACTAAATAAGATAGGTTTGAGAATGTAGAATTTTTAATATCGAATGCTTGCTTCTATAACTGAAACTTGTTTCGAGTTCAACAAAAGACTACAAGGGAAACTGAACTATCAGTCATTTAAGTTTGGATCTGATTTATATTGGGATTCTATGAAGATTCCGTGATGAAGTCTTAAGAAGCAAGGAAAAGCAGAATGTACGCACCACAAAGATTTCTAGAAAGTTGATGGTTGTGTTAAACTCTGGATAATTATTTACTTTGTTGCTTAATTTAGCATGTTTCCACAGTTTAAAAGCATTAAAAAAAACCTATAAATACAGTTGTCTTCTTTCCATAAATGAACTTGGAAGTAAGTTTCAATTCTTACTTCGCACCTTTTCTTTACTCTTACGACTCAAATCTATGAGTACTTGGGGAATCTATGAACTGATAAGAAAGTAAATATCAAGCGTTTGAATAGCAGATATATCAATCTGTACCGAAGTTATGTCAGAAAAAATGTAATATTACGTCAAGAAGTTATATTTCAAGTGAACTACTCTATACAGTCCTTATTATGGATGAAAAAATAAGCGCGATGCGAATTAACGATGGCCTTTTGAAAAAAAATATTACGTATTATATGTGCTCATTTGATATTCTAACACTTCGCTTTCTGCACAAAAACTCCATTATGATGAAAATCTGATATTTATGAAATAGCTTTGAATCCGTCAATATTGCAGATATATGCTTCGGTTACACAAGTAATGACTCAAGTGAAACATGAGTTCAATATCTTCTAATAATTACCTTTAGCCACACATAACATGAAAACTTGATTTACTGTAAAATTGAGTCATTTTCTCTGTTAACCTCATTACAACTTGATTGTTAGTAATTAGTTATCAACACAAATGACTAGACAACCTGTTATTGGTTACTATTTTATGTAATCGGTTAATATGTAAATAATATGGTGTCGATGATTTTGAGATGGTGAAGAATATTTGTAGCTCAGGACGTTCTTTTTGTCTTTATTGTGCAAGGTGGTTGTCCGAGTCTGTTATTGATACATACGCGTCCTAGCAACTTGATTGAAAAAAACCAAGCTTCAGTAGAAAGCTTTACTTGGCTAACCAGAATCAAAATATATCCACAAAATAATTCATTAACATAGGTGCATCCCTCGGAAAATTTGGCCAGATCCTCAATAAATAATGTTTGTCTATCTTATTTTGAAAATTAAACTGAATACTGACCAATAATGAGCACCCGTCATTATCTCTTACTTATCATTTGGCCTTAAACTTATATATTCGATCGGCCCAGCCTATAAATCTTTCTAAACAAACATCACCAAAGCAAACCTCAGATAGAATTGACCTATTTGAATTTCTGTACATATGAATATCAGCTTGTTCTGTCCACTTTGAATTCAATTGGTTTTTGTTATTGACCACCCAGCTCAGAGAAGGAAACTTCATCAAGTGTTGTTGATAATCTATGATTATAAACTAGACCTCAGTAATAGAATTATATTTAAGTCTCGGTTAAATAAGATAAGATCGGATGTAATTGAATAAATTTTCATATCTATCTTCTTCATGTTATTATTATTAGTGGCTTTATTCAATATTCTATTTTGGTACAATATGGAATTCTCAGCATAAAGTAGTTCAACAAGTTTCCTTTTCTTATTTCTTAATCAATTCTTGCGTTAAATATTGAGTGGTTGCCAGTTAGATGTTAGCAGCTCAGAAATCGACATCTGAATAATGTATATTGTTTTCGATGCATATTGCCAGCAACCATGATGTCTCTGATTGAGCTCTTTTGTAACTTGTACAGCGAAATGTCGTAAACTTTTCACAAAGGCACCTGAATAGAATATGATAGTAACAAGCATAATGTGTTAAAACAAACAAGAAAACAGATAACTTGTTGAAATATCCAGATGGCAGGAACAGGTAGCCCAGATATTCAAGCAGGCCGCCTTATCAAAGAAATCCTAAAACAAAATGACTGGCACTCAAGTAAAACTGTATTCATAAGGGAAATTAATGATTTATTTTCTTGATTACATACATATGTAATGTTTTCGAAAAATCAGTCTAGTATTTTTAACACTTTTAAACAAAATCTAATTTATTTTAGACAAACTGAAAGAATGATTATTGGGTAAAGAACTTGACTCTGAAACTATTATACGGCAGTTGAAATTCCACTGATATCCATATCTATTTTGGGCAATCGGATACCAGTATCATCAACTGTCAAATAACCGAGTGCATTAACCAGTATTCAGTAAGAAAGTTACATTAGAATTATTTTTTGGTGAATTACCATATTAACTATGGATCATAGACTAGTTTAAAACGACTATTCAGTGTTGTACTTCATTGATGAGAACCATCTTTCAGTAAATAATTACACTTTTAAGGGAATAACTGGAACAAGTTTGAGATCTATATCAAAAACCTTATTCAGAGGTAAAATACATGAATGTTGAAATGAGGATAATCATGCATTAAAAATACACTGTGTAAATTCAAAAGACCTTGTTTATTTTGTTCTAGCTTGAAGGTTCAATTGAAATTCGAATAACGGAAGATATACAACTTCAAAGTGTGTTTCGAATATATGTGTTAGAGGTGTTATGCGTGCTTGGAAGTACTATTCGACATGAAACCCTGTTGGCACTTATAGTAAGATGTATATGTGATCTCAAGTTAATTGATACTGCCTTTAGGATTCGAACCAAGCTTCATAAGCTATGATGTTACCACCACTGAGACCGTGAATGACCCCTCCCTCTTGTAGTATATCAGAGTAAGGCATCTCATGATATAAAATCTTGGTTGCCATTTAACCAATATTAGTGCATGACGAGAATTATCCCGGGATTAAAACTTTGGTCATAGATTCACAAAGAATTCAACTAATTTAATTCTACAAAAATATGTTATTGACTAACTTGAAAATCATGAATGCTATTCGGATCGCATGAATGATTTAATAAGCTAACACATGGGAACAGGCCAGTTGCAATGCGAATTTGTTGCAATTTACAAATCAAAGGATAAATTAATTTCCGATCATTAACATCATTAACATTTATTTGATCCGAAGGGAGCCATGTTTGAATATCAGGATCATTGACCTGGATTTCAGTGATAGCGTGTGCATTACACTGAAGACGTCTTAACGTGTCGAAACACCAGAGACCTTGGATCAATTCATTGTTAGTTGATTGCAAATTTGTTTTATTATTACCATTATTACTATTATAGCTTAAAAGTTTCGAAATTAACCAACCAGTAAGTGCATATTCGAATAATTCATCAACGTGAAAGTTTGTAAAATGTTCAATTAATTGATCAGTAGTAAAATATGAATTATTATCATTGATAATTTCGTCGGAAGATGGATGATGATAGCGCTGACGAAGCCATGCGAGACGAAAGCATAAATGACCCAATCCAATGGAATTTAAAAGAAACATAAATCTAGAAAATTTGTAATAATACGAAGAACAAAAAGAAAACGTAGTAAAAAGAGGTTAAATTATTTTTGAACAACACAAATTGAGACCATGCAAATCGAAGGACAGTAGTTTCGTCCCAGTGTGGAGCTCCTCAGCAGTGAGAATCCACAAGCCTATCGAGGATGGAATCCAGGAACGTCAGGTATCGCAGCGGGAACTTAGTTTTAAAATTCGAAAGTTAGTATCTATCAGTTTGTACCTTTAAGTTTGATTAATGAGCGGTAGAGTCCAACTATTTCAGGTGTGAGGTAGTTATCCACAAGCATTCTGTATTAGCTAGGTTATTTTTATCAGTACAAGAATTAGGTACTTTTACTTAAGATGGTATTCAATGACGATAATTTCTGAAGTTCTTATCATTTGATAGCCAAGTACGTTGATTATCAGGATTTAGGTGGTTGGAAGTAGTCAATCCTGAGCCTAGACTTTGTGCTAACTGGTATTTGATATCAAGTCGTACCTGTGGTATTGAGAAAACTGATGTCCCTAGTGGGTTTGATCCCGTGAGACTCAGCTTTACAACCAGAGACATTATCACTGAGCCTTGTGATCAAAAATCTAATACAGTTAGAGTCGTGTATATGCAATACTTTCGAAGCTATACCTAAAGGACTCATTCATTTTTTGTTAGTTGTTTGGATCTTCTCACTGATGTTTAGGATTGCAATTGATCAGTCTTTTATTGACATATTTGTATCTTATGCGCATTGCCTCGATGTTGCTTTCAGTCACAAGTATTTTAAACAGAGATGATGGTGGCTATCAATGGAACCGATGGTTCAAAAACCATTTCAAAAATGAATTAAACTTCACCCTGTCGCACAAGCTATTGGCTATCTAGACTCAGCAGCTAAGTGGATAACGTGATGGCGTTCGAAGCGGACGGTACTGGGTTTGTGTCCCAGAATGAACATCAGCCCTGGGATGCAATCACATCCGGCTGACGAGTCTCATATAGGACGAGACGTGAGTCCTGGATTTTACTGCCAGCCACAATAATCTCTGCTTATGTAGGATTCACTATTCACGGTACGTATTTATATTGTTATAAAGAACTTCTCTCATGAAGGAATTATTTCTACTAGCTTCATAATTTTGGAAGTTCCCAACTCGACCAAGAATTGGGATCTTTATCACTGTGGTACTCAATTCGATCACGAGCATTGGATTCTTGATACCGTAGACCGATAATGACAAGGGTCAGATAAATCAATACAAGTGGAAACAACACAGAAGAACTGTATCCGTCAGTACCTCAAAAGTACAAACTCCCTAAGATAACCTCATCTACCTACCTGAATTGTTTTCGATAGTACTAGCCTTAACTTATATACTTGATACTGTTTAAATTCCGTTAACAGATCTGTCATATCCTCCTTGAGTATTATTTCTTCTGCTATTTGTCACATCAGCTGCACCGAAATTACCGCAAACTGAGATTCAAGACGCACGATATTCATAAATTTTAATGTAGCTATTCCAGATTTGCCTAAGATGAAGCTACATTTCACTGTACTTACATTATACTCTATTCTCACATAACCGGTGGATCTATAGGAGATTTCTGAGGTGGCCAAAAACGAATGTAACAACTGTTGATGTATACTGACTAATTAAAAATTTAAACGCCATAGAATTCTTAAGGATTAAACAATTTTAATTGCTCACACGTAGTTCTTCATCGACTGTTTCACCCCATCCACAATTTCGACAGCACAACTGTTGTAAAACCCTTTTAGGTGTAAATGATGGTGGTGTTATGAATACAAACAGATCATATAAGGATGCAGCACATGATACAATGTCTATTTTCGTGATTGGGTGATCAGGAAGGCCTACGTCAAACAAAACACAATCAAGCTGAGTAAACTCACACAACCTCAAAGTCGTTTATAGACCTTTAAAACCCGGTATGCGAACTTAGCTATCTGGTCAATCGTTCACAGGAATGCTAGCTAGAAAAGCGTGACAATTGTCAGCCAGTTTGTGAAGTTAGAAACCACCAAAAGCTATCAATTCGCCTACTCGGTGGCCACAGCAAGAGTCTATACCGAAAATAGACAACTGTCGGCGTAAAATCTTTCTTTTAGTGTAGTTCGCGTACTTTCATTGAACACATCTTGGGGATTGACGGCTATGAATTTGAGAACAAAGGTTGCGCAGAATGCTAAAGAAATAGCTCCAAAGTGATGTGCTTGGACAAATATAAATTAGTAAGGGAATCGAACTTATCTCCGACATACTTGAAGAAACCAAATTCCTTTATGTCCTCTTCGTGCAGGTGTACTTGAAGAAACATTTCTTCAATATCTATTGACAATACTGTTTTATGTTTCTTGAATCAGAGGAAGACATCTGCCAGATCATTTGTAAGATCAGGCCCAGTATTTTTACACCAATTCAGTGATACATTTCTTGATTTGGCAGCACAATCAAATATAAAACGAGCGTTTCTTGATCATTTAGAGTTCAGTACAAGATGACGTAAGATAAACTACCGTTCTTCATCAATGATCTTCAGCACTCAGGATAACCACACTTTGCTCTCAATGCGACGAGTATACTAGTATGCGGTCCAAGTTGGTGTTCATATCTCAAAAACCTTTCGCGTAGGAAGTTTCGTCGTCTCCTGCTTTTCGTTTATTCTTTGATAGAGAGTATCAGTCTATTCATCAGGGTAACAAGGCACTTGATAGTGGCCATTATGTAGTATCGTACGTCTATCAGTAGTTTGTAGAATCTATTTATCACATGTTGACATTTCAGTCTCTCTAGAGTGTTGGTTTTCTGGAAACTCGTGCTCGAACATGTTGGTGATGTTGACTTCGATAGATTCGCTTTTTTAAAACAATACAGCCATAGATGTAGGCTGCCGACAGGTTATTGCTCGATGATTATGCTTTAGACGACAAAACTTCCTGCGCGAAAGGTTTTTGAAATATGAACATCAAATTGGACCGTATACTAGTATACTCGTCGCATTGAGAGCAAAGTGTGCTTACTCTGAAGTCTATTGATAGAGACAAATAATCGTGTAAGTCCCAGTGATACTAACCGACTGCTAAGACCGAACTAAGCGGAGCGACACAATGATGTGTGACCAAATGGTTGAATATTAGAAACGTTTGAGCACTAAGCGAATGTTCATACCTTTGATAATAGTAATATTACCTTGGACTAATTCTTCGACCCCTTTTTTCGAATCGTTTGTAAAATATGTGTATTATGACTGTATTACTTATAAGTAACTAGTTTTCTTGTCGCATAATTTCTTTCCTGCATTTTATTGGATAATACACCTTTTATTTGTCCTGTCATATCGAACTGATGATTAACCAGTTAGTCTTTTGTGACTGTTGCTATATATATATTCCTACGAATCCCAAATAGTCTTCTGACTTTAACCGACTTTGGAGGAGTTATTCCAATCAACCTAACATTACTCGCACACAAGGTAAAACAAGACGAGCAAACACAACTTACCGACATTCTGCCAGATGCCAAGCAGGTTGTTGAAAATCACGAAATAAGTATGAAGGATTTGAAATTTTTGCGCAATAAGAATTACAACTAGTTCTATTTGACAATTCACAATACGCAGCATCACAACAGTATGGACAGACAAAACCAACGGAGTTTAGTTGATTAAAACATTTCAAACATTGATTCATACGTTGTGACGGTAGAAGTAGTAAATATTCAAATGTGTTACGATCATTATTATCATTATCATAGGAGTGTGCATTTCTGTTTTGTGCCCATCCACCAGCAGGCTCAACCGCTATAATATCGCCTGGTTCAAAGGATTCAGTAGCGATGATATGTCTGCCTTTTTCATGATTTGTATCAATACGTACACCGTTTGAAAGCCCATGGTACTACAGTAATAATAATAATAATAATAATAATAATAATAATAATATATGTATGAAATTAGAGATTTGTAACTGGCTAAACCTATTTTGATTCATTATTAGTAATAGTGACCAATGTTATCTTCGCCTAATCCTCTTAGTGGTGATGGAATTCAATCGGTCAAATTGTAATGTGACCACCACTAGTCTAAGTGACTTGATATCGAATATAATATGTGTCTTGACTCTTTTAATGCTACTTTTTATATGTGGTCGTCGCTGATTGTTATGCCGGAAACGCTTATCACTTATACTCGAAACGAGGGACCTCAGCAATTCCCACGACGCGAAAGTAAGAACACAAGACTGGTATAAGTGAAGATTTATTAACGCAAAAACACGACGACGACGGTGTGAGAACTGCCCACGAGTGAATTCGAGGAGGTTGTAAGAAGCTCAGAAAGAACTGAAGATATTCCATTCAATCATCTTTTGAAAGAATATTTTAGAATCTCTACATGTAGCTTCCCGATTGGACAATGCTAATAATCCCCAGTGTGCGGATTAGATAGCTATAATGATTTCGTTTTTACTAAAAATTATGAATACCTGACAGTTTTGTACTATAATTTGACACTGTCTGGAATAAATTCCTTTCACTAGTCTTCGGTATTCTCATTGTGACTTGGAAAGGTTCTAGCGTTCTAGTGCTCAAGTTATACGCGTCATATCAAGAATATAAGCTCTAGATATAACGATTGGCGACGGGGGTTTCGGAAAAAATTGAAAAGATATGACAATATGTTAAGATCTTAGTTGGTTCGAGGTAGTTGGCAAGAAACCATGAATTTAGGTTTTTTTACTATTAAGCGCTTGTCACCAAGGCAAACCTGAACTCTTGAGGGAACTGATTTTACCCGTGGGTCTCGAGCCTATCGCCTAGATTCACAGTATAAGATGTCATCATTCAGGCCGTAACTGACTTTAGTACGGCTAAGATATTTACGTTGATTGATTACTGAGTAGCTATTTTAACATTAAAAAACCAATACTAACTAGGGAATCAGTGTGAACTAAGTCTCAGAGCATTGAGTATAAGTTTCATTCTGTTTAAGGACTTGTCAGTTGTATAAACACACCCCGAAAACACAAGATACAACTCAATATTCTTCAAGTCTCTTATCGAGTACGATGCACTTAGACGTCATGAGCCAAATACAATCATTACCGTTTTCCAAATTCGATTACATATCTAATAAAGTGCAATTCTTAACCAACGTCATAGCCCCACATCAGAGTCTCATAAAATCATTCCTCACATCCCCTAGATATTCGTGTTTCAGCATCATTCCAATAATTCTATTTCGTGAAGTCGTTCCTTCCTTTCTGTACCACGTACTGGTTAAGCTATAATCACTGTGACACCTGGGTTTTATCACTGGTGAGGTCTTGGGTATGCACTGATGAAGAGTTCCATGTTAGGACGGAACAGCTATTCAGTTACCCTGATTTTTAATGGTATCTCAACCGGAATAAATGTGGAAAATACTTTCAGCATTGTCTTTATGTTTGACATTTCTTACTATCACTAATGTACTGATTATATTAGGGTTTTTTTACTGTCCATCTTGTTAAGTTTACCCCGTTGTGGTGTATGATGTGACTATCAAAGTTAATAAATATACTTAAACAATAAACTAAATTATTAAACCACTAAGTTTTCACTAAATACACTAAATCTTTTTAAAACTTACCAAAAGGTTATGATCGTATTTTGGTGTTGGGATATCCCAATGGTTCTTTATATTGTTTTTATTCTCATTATTAAGTAAAGAGATAAGCTTCGTATGAATTTCCAGTAATTTGTACGATGTAAGTGTAGAGTTCCATTCAATAAGTGTAGGTAATTTAAATGTTTACAACATTGATCGAAACGAGTTTTTAAGCGAATTACTGGTGAATTATTACTACAATTCTGTATATTTGTCACATTCAAGTGTAATTCCAATGCAGTTAGTACAGATTCTAAACAAGATGACCATAATTGTTGATGTGCAAGTACAACAGATAAATTACCGTGCAACAATGCACCTTCTAAACAAAATTCATCATTTTGACTAGTCGATGACATGAAATATGCATTAGGTGCATGAAGTAAACCAGTTCGATAAGCTGTTGCTGAAGCATTCAAGTTACCTTGCCTGGAAATATAGAAATAAGATATCAAAAGATATATATTACATATATATACGGCCGAGAGAGGGGAGAGCCAGCTCTCCCTCACGAAATGTTTCCACATAGCCACATGCATATAACCACTGTCCGGGAAGTCCTACTCATTGTCTTCTCGTGGCAGCAGTGTTGTTTACGACATCGAGATAATGAAAAGGGAATGTCTGGCACTCTAAAAGGGTTGGTGGATATGGAGGATCTATCTAGTAGAGTTGGAAAACCCTGATTCCAAACCAATGATGTACATGAGCTCCAGTATCCTGAAGGAACAAATGGCGTATGAACCAATTGTTGGTCACCGGCTACCGTGGGACTGCATCTCCTCATGTTGCTCCACTGCCTTTTGGATCAGACTCTTAAGTCGAAGGCTCCGGGTGTGGTCCCCCTAAGAGAACCACCTGCTTCGGTTTGAGCACCTGGGTAGTAATCCCAATCCTCACATAAATCAAACGATTTATGTAATGCCTTCTTGTACCAATGTTTATGTATTTAAACAAACATGTGCTCACTAGTGACTAGCTTCGTGAGGGAATTCTCAGAGTTCTAGTGAGAAGCCGTGATCAGTGAAGCTAATCTATGTCGGGTAGAGACAGGTATCTACCTCAGTACAATGAAAGTTGGTCGCGCAATTTCGTGGATTGATTGATGTTAGACACTATCACCACTGGATGCCGGCTCAATGGTCCAGTAGGTTAAGCGTTCGCGCGCGAAACCGAAGGCCCTGGGTTCGAATCCCGCGAGCAGGATCGTGGATGCGCACTGCTGAGGATTTCCGCAATAGGACGAAACAGCCTTCCAGTGCTTCCAGGTTTCCAGATGTGGTCTAACATCAATCGGTTCATGATCTCAATCAAAAACATAATAATCTCCACAACCCCTATACTAGAAATAAATAATAGTAATTATATATATATATATATATATATATATATATATATATTTTATATATATATATATATATATATATTATATATATATACATAAGAAACATACTTGAATAAATCATTTCCTAATTTTCTATAATGTTGAGCTTTTTTAGTACTTTTCATACAAATATTACCTTTGTCAAATTCATTTATAAAAGATATGATACGACGTAAATCATTTGTTGCATTATTATTAATATAATTAACAATACGATAATAAAATGAAGCAGATAATTGTGTAGAATTAGCTTGTAATGCTAATTTTTTAATTTGATCATCATTATGAATATTTTGTTTATTTAATAAATGAGTAAATAATTTAGGATTATTTTGTACATAATTTAATTCATTAGAGATTAATCTTGTCCAAATTGTACTAACATTATTGAATTCAATGGATTTAATATGATGATGATCAATATCAGTATCCATTATAATATCTTAAACAGTTAATTCATTACACTGATACACCTTGAACATACGACTGAAATCAATGAAAGAAAATTTAAAAAAAGATAAGTTATGTAATTATTAGTAATATGGTAAAATGTGACGTTTTTTTTCTTAAGCTAAACTTTCTAGCCAATAGTTTCAATTTTTATTCCATAGAATTGAATTAAAAATATTCAATGGCTACCAAGATAACTAAATTTAACAGTCAATAGTCTGATAGATTAGTATGTTGTGTAGTGTTTAGTGATGGCTACATAATATTAACCAAATTGTAGTAAAATCTAAACAGTTCAACATTAGTTTCAATAGTTGAAATCATGAGTCAATTGAAGCTAGATCACCATGGAAAACCTGGAAGCACTGGACGGCCATTTCGTCCTAGTATGGGACTCCTCAGTGGTGCGCATCCACGATCCCCCCGCGAGATTCCAACTCGGGACTTATTAGTCTCGCGCGCGAGCGCTTAACTATTAGACCACTGAGCTGGCCGGCATCCAACGATGTTAGTGTCTAACTTCAACCAATCCACGAAATTGCACCACCGTACATCATTGTCTACAGTGAGCTGATATCTCACAACAGACCTGGTTGAACTCCACTGGTCATTGCTTCTCATTAGAACTCCAGGAAATGCCTCTTGAAGTCAGTCACTAGTCAGATAATTATTATCAGAAGGGGTTTTGTGGAGATTTTAGAGATTTCAATAGTTGAAATCATGAGTCAATTGAAGCTAGACCACAATGGAAAACCTGGAGGCACATGAAATCTCCACAAAACCCCTTCTGACAAGTTCAACATTAGGTTAAGATTTTGTCTGAATTTAGGTTACTGTTTACAGTTAATAGCAGGCCCTATATATTTAGGTTTCGTGATAACTGGATCAGTAAAATACACCTTTTCTAACAAGACCTAACTAGGAAAGAACTTGGGTATGAAGATTTTTGTTAATCATTTTTAATTATTTAACACCAAACACTAAGCTTATGAGTTGTTAGGAGTAGTTAAAACTCAAAGAGGAAATAATCATAGGATCATTTAAGACATAGTTCAAATCTAAACAGAATTGTAAATGAGAATGTTAGTCTATGAATTCAAACGATAAAGTATGTTGTCGGTGTTTGTATTCTACAAAGTCACTGAGGTTTAATAGCTATCACTGAGGAAATAATAAGTAACTTTATAAAGGTTACATAAGCTTATCAGATAGCTTGAAAAAAGAGATGACAAATATATTACCATCACCAAAATTAACTCATTTACCAGGTAATTAGGTGTAAGCCACACTCCAAGTGTGAGGGTTAATTATACTACCAAGTTGGTTAGAAAGTAAGCGGAGCGGGGTTCGGAATCGGGACCTAAAGATCAGAAGTCAAATGCTTTACCCACTGAGCAACAACACAGAATGCAAATTGAGTCGTTGAAATTTTCTTTCCAAAAGTGGATATATCGATGGAAGCTTATCAGTAAGCTTAGTAGTTATATGTATCTAGTCTGATTTATTGTTAACCGATTACCTTAAATATAGTTGTACATAGTCGGCTTTGAGCTAAATGTCTTTAAATAAGGGTTAGAAATAGTGTCGTGAAATGCAAATGTAGTTACTTATATGTACTCGAAGTCGAGTCATGAATCATACTGTCTATAAACTATGGGCCAAATGAAGCTAAAATCATTTCTTGACAATTTCTTTCAGTAATTCATCTATAAATACAGAAATAGATGAGTAAAGTAATATTATTTATGTCTTCTTAGGAACATGACTGAAATTCCGTCTAAAAATATAAGCAACATAACACAATTTATCTCAAATAACTGATAGATTGTTAGTGATTGAAATTAGACATATGGATTATTGGTTGGTGGCTTCATGGCCTAAGAGCTAATACGCTTAGTGTGAGACATGGAGGTTTTGGGTCCGAACCCGGTGGGGCATAGAATACGTGCCGTTGAGGAGTCCCAATGCTAGTACGAAACAGTTACCGAGTGTTTCCTAGTTTTCACTAACTAAGATCAGTTCATGATGCAAACTATAACACATGTTCAATTGTGGAACAGTATTGAAATTTTAACATGATATTGGAAAATTTTATAGCTCAGAAAAGTTCTATTATTCCAGGTAAAATGATAAAAGAAATATGTTGAAAATAATAAATGAAAACGAATTCGGATTCTTTTAGGAAATTCTTAAACAGTAGAAATGCATTTAATGTAATTCGAGCAGCACTACGGTTAAGTAATAATGAGATTATAGGAACTAATCTAATAAACGAGTTTGTACGATATGTAAAGTAGTCTCTTAAGTGTGCATTCAGAGCACCTGTATAAATTTTCTTTGTATCAATTTAATTTCTTTTCCCTAACTGGGTTAATTTTAACCCAATTATTTTGTTTAACTGTGTAATCGGTTATTTCTATTATTAGTATAATTACTTGTAATGTACCCTTCAATACTTTGTACAAATAAATTTTCAGCATACTAAGTATTGGTTCAAACCACTATGAATATTATGTTGAGTGTTTTCTCTCGCATGAGAGATTTTAGGCTTGATTTGTCAGGAACGCCCCCAATTTTTAGTATGTTGTATCCAGCAGTTTCAGTAATTTCGTTCATTTAATGGGTAAGTACTGAAGGTTACAATTGTAAATTTCATTTCAAGTCCCAACTTTCATTAAAGTTGTACTCTCTTGTATGTGGGAGTCGAACTGTTGGATACAAGTTCAGTGGTCTAGAGGTTAAGCATTCGTGTGTGGGGTAGTGGGCGTGCACTACTGAGGAGTCCCACACCAGGACAAAACGGCCCTTCAGGTTTGCAATAGTGGTCTAATTTCAGTGGTAATTATATCTTTCTGAGATGAACTGTTCGGTGAAATTATATCTTAATATATGGCACTGAGCAAGTGGACGGAAAAATGATTGGAAGCACTGGGTAAGATGTACTTAGTGAACATAGGAAACGTGGATAAACTTAGTCAAGTTTTCTATCCAGTTTCAAACATAAATCTCGACTCTATTAAATAAAGCACTAATAACCTTTTTTGAAGCCTTATTATTCACTGTAACTTGAATTGTTTGTAGCTGATTGAAACCCAGAAAAGTAAAATGAATTCATTTCTCCACTTGCAAACGTTATTGTTCTTGGTCTAATAAAAATTAAGAAGAAAGAACTGAATGAAGGCTTAACTACTATTTAGTTTTTCTTTAAACTTGCAGATTTGCAAAAGAAGCTACTGCTAAGAAAACGACAAAATCCAACATTAGGTGACCGGAGAAAGTTACGAAATCACTAGGTTTTCAATAAACTGAGACTCGTCAACAAAGGGTATCTGAAATCTTCAGTAAACTGATGCGCCCAGTGAGACAATGAATCATAGTACTCAATGTCAAAATTAGAGACAGACTGATAGGCATATAGTAACTGGCTAGATAAAATTTAATTAGTATTAAGTAAACAAACATTACATGGGTTACCATTCAGCGATTAATATATGTAAATAAGATGGGATAGTAGATTGAAGGAAAAGTAAGTGATACGGTAGATCTATCGCAAAAGTGCAGACGTACTCGTTCTTCAGTTTTCTCCAAAGCTTGAGTTTTATACTCTAATCCCTTGTTCCATTTTTTTTTAACTGTATAATATGTACTGTTATTAGTAAGGGTTTAAATAATCCTATATTACTATTCAGGACTGAATTTCGATCAGTCTTTTCTGGCATACATACTTCCTGAAGTATTGCCTCGATACATTTAGAGTGAAAGGAATTGAATTCTTATCTCAACGGGAATATCAACACTGATATACAGGCACATTCGAATGACTAGTGGAAAATAAAAAAACGCGCATCCTGATTCCCACTATAAGCAACAATCCGTATATCCTATAAAAGCATCAATCTCTACGTCTAGCCTTTCTTATTAACATTGGAACTACTATTATGTCAATACCTTTGCTATCCATATTGTTAGTCTCATCCCATTACGCTGTGATGTGAAATTGAGCCGATAGGTATTTTCCCCAGGTTTTACCTTGATTATGTCTGAGTTCCTAAAAGGATAATGATCTGTTGGGGAAACTCAAAATTTAGTTGTTTTTATATTTCAAAACTAAACATTGTGGCTCTAAGGTACCTATCAAATAGTTAAAATATGAACGATCATTTTACTGGAATCCAACTCATTGATAACAAAACCTTAAAATGTTGGACACTATTCAAACAAAAATCGTTGCATTGCCAAAAGAGTATTAGTATTTTATAATTTAAGTGTATACGATAACCTACAATTCACTTTTTGTCTTCCCTCGAATCGTAAGTTTTTAAATCCCTCACAAATTTCTCTCGCCATTTTACTGATTTATATTTTCTTTTAAAATTGTATCTTCGGTGCCTAATTCATTCTGTTACTGCTAATACGGTTATTATCTATACTACTTTGGGATCTTCTCTGACAATTTTATCTCGCTGTACTAATGAAGTATGAGAACTTAAAAAATGTATACATGTTCCAGGTTCCACGTTGCGTTTGCCTGAATGAGAGTTTGTTCTGTAAGAGTACATATATGAATCAACATCTTTATTCAAACAATTTTCTAAATACTTCATCTCAGGTTCCGTGTTAATATTAACGTATTTCAGAGGTTAACTGAATACGGATATCATATCTTATGATTTGAATGGTACACATAATGACCACTAAGTTGTATAATGCATTTGACATCAATTTTTTGGAAACAATCGTAACATAAACGCATAATTATCCGTCACGAATTTGAATAGACACCATGCAGTAATGCAATTACATGTTATTGTACAGCTAATCAAATAATCATTTATGAAACGATATATATATGATTCGTTCTTTAGGAGTATGATCGAGTTGTACATGTATGCTCTGCTAATGAACAAATTAAGTTAAATAGGACAGAACCAAATAACCTATAGTTTCATAATAAACATATGGTGTAACAAATCAGATGAAAATGTGGTATATCAATAAATGTAACCTAACGGAACCAAAAAAATAACAATGAAAAATATCAACATACAAATTAAAAACTGACTATTACAGTAAAATGCAGAAGGAGCAAGTTTCAGAAAATAATGTTTTTTTATTTAATTTTTCTGGTATTACTGTTATATACAATAATATATAAAATTATCTTAAGATGATGATAACTAATGAGGTTGTGGAATATGTCCATCAACATAGAAATTTCTTGTAGCCTTTGGCAAAGTGATTGTCATTCCATTTAGTTCTTTGGTCAGCACTATTTGGCAGGCTAAATGAAATAGATAATAAAACTCTTCATTTAAACGCAAGATGAAAGAGTTGCACACAAAGATATACTGACTCTATAAGATCAACTTAAATATACGCATTTAAATTCAGATAACTGTATAATTAAAATGTTAGACAGTAAAGAGGCTGGAAACCGAGTATAATTAGCAGGACCATGAGTAACGATCTAAAACTACTGGATGAATGTCGGTCGAAGCGAAGTTAAACTCGACATGTCCTTGAGATCAATAAATTTAGCCATATGTAAACTCAGTCCTAGGTCACCAACTAGAAACTAGAGCTAACCTGTAAACATTTGACTACGTTGATAGGTTGCCAAACTGCTAACACAGCACTAACTAAAGATATCCCTGTGAATATTCATTTGCAAGTAGCGATAGCTATCATTCAATACTCAGGAGGTTGCTTTATACCTAGAATTCAGCCCGAAACCTTGTTAAGTCAATGCACTAAAATAATCTTAACTACATTTAAGGATCAATAATACACAGACTGAGTGAAACATCGCGACCATTAGTCGCCAACACATCTGTCCCGAGACTGAAGGCAGAACTAGTAATATTTGAAATTAGTAGGATGGGATTTTATACAAGACATTTTCATAATGGTCAGATATATTATTTAAGTAATCTATTTAAGCACATTTCACATGGTCTTCTTAATGACGCCAAATTTGAAGTGGAGAACTGAAGCACAAATCAACTATATTTTCTGGATGAATGTTTTAAAAAAGAGAATGAATATCGTCAGGAGTTTACTTATCAGCTATTATACCTCTTTTAATGAGCAATAGGCAGACAAACGAAGCAGAACACTAATAACCCAATATTTATGTGCCATGCTGTCGAATGGGAGCTAAAGTAGACTTATGGAAGCTGACTAGCATTAAATATTGATTACCAGCAATATTACTCAAGGATAAGAAGATAAACAGAATTATTATCCTCATAGGAGACCAATAACACATTCATTATCAGATTAGACAGGCACTCCTTTTATTCTGCACGTATGTTAAAGTAAACTAGATTATATATATCACTACTTGTACAAATAAACCTATTTGTATGATTCTACACATACAATAATTAAAGAGTAACCCCCAATGAGGTGTCTGTTATCTGTTCACCATCGGTTATAACATAACCATAAAAAACCTATAAAAAATTAGTAATAATCGGAGGGATAGGAAGTCACGTGAAAATAAGACCTGTGTTGTTGATGAAGCAGTAGGTTAGAAGAAAGCTAGGAATGACCGAACCAAGACATGGCATCAGTAGATGAAGTCAGTAGCTGTTGGTCTGAGCTATGTTGGTAAATGTAGATTACCTGGTTGAGATCTGCTTGAAGACTGGGTGATTTGGCTCAGAATCGCTCATCATGGGGCAGATGCACCCACAATTTATCTTTTTGTCGATTGGGAGTTCCAGTGTTCCTTCATACAAACATTCCAATTCTGTCTTTCCGAATTATACGCATATTGTTACGTCCTCATTATTAATGACATTACATTATTTTAATTTTCTTTTGTCATTCATGGTGCTATTTGTACCTAGTTGTGCTAATGTAGTATGGCAACTAGGGCCGGCGCACATGTCTCAGATTTTAAGTTGGTAATGACTGACTGTCTGAAAATATTGCACTTATATTTCAAGAAAAAAATCCAGTTACACAACATGACTTTTTTTACAGTAAAATAAAGTCAATAACCCAATATTTTATTGATATCTACGTTGACCTGGTTGTATTGTCGTGGTATTTTTCTTTAATTCGATTATTCGAATTTGGATAACTTTTATTATATTAATACAGTAAACAGCACTTTCATATATTCCTAAAATTTTTAATGTAATTTAATAACCAAGACCAGGTTTATATAATGGAGTTTAAAGCTGGTGACATAAGGCTACTCAAAAGAAAGTGGAACGATGTTTGGATTTGTAGTCCAGTAGTTATGAGTTAATATCTCTAGAAATTAACTATGCTATCACTATACGTATTATTACCAGTTTTAGAACTTTCTTCCCAACAACAGCAAACATCTGATATATTTAGCTCATTGAACCAAACAAGTTTTGACACTTTCGGTTTATTTCAAATCTTATTTACACTCGAATTTGTTTGTACCTTGAAGATAGTTGTTGGGTGAATTAAGTTTACTTAATTCTGCTAATTAGACTTCGCTTGTCTTCACAAAATATATATTGAGTTACGTGTATACAAAAAACAGAACTGATGAAGTAACCCAACATTCAGTAATGTTGTCTCTACTATATTACCGCGTGGTTAATAATTATTTACATGCATTTATATACTACAAGATAACTGCTAGTGTGAAAATATTGTTAAACTTTTGATCTTGCAATAAAGTCTCTATGTACACAACAAGTATGGAAATATCTTTGATTGCCAAAATCCTAAATAGTTAAATTTGAGGCCGTAGGTTTCAAAAAATGTCACAACTTAAGTGTATTATTAGGTGGTAATAACAGTGTTCAGACGGATTTTTATTCGTGCAGACAATGTAATCAGAAAGACAAATATGAAACAACCCGAACCACTATTGGGAAAAAGGATATTTACGTGTAACTTACATAACCTAGAGTTTTCTTGTAGGAAAACAGCTAAATCTAACATATCTTCCTCGCCCTCAGAAGCAGGTGGGAGCAGATCATAAAATTTTTGATCAATATAGACATGGCAAGTGGAACATGCCAGAGAACCCTCACAAGCTCCCTCTATTTCAATATTATGCCGGCGGGCCAGTACCATTAAATTATCTCCAACTTCTCCTTCAAGATGTCTGATGTTACCATTTCGATCAACAAATCGAACGTTTACTCTAAAATTAAACATTAAAATACATAATATATTTAGAGTTACGTTTTGGAAGCAGGGGTGGAGTTTTCATTAAACTTTCTTATTGAGTCTATTAAACCTATAAAATGAAAAGCTTCTTACGGTTCAGAAATAAAGGTTTGAGATAACGTCTGAATGAATTCAAATGATGGGAGAACTGTACATTACGCAAAACATGGGACATTTTCATCACAGAAACTGGATGACTGATGCAGCCAACTTTCTGCAAAATCTTTTCCAATGATAGCGAAAATTGTGCTAATTTGTTGAGGCTGAAATTATTAGAAAAATGAAATTGGAAGTTACGACACATCCATATTTATCAAAGCAAACTTAGGAAAACAGTGTAACAATGAGAATAGGCTAACGCTTAGTAAACTATAACAAAATTGATAACCTGGTGGTCTATAAAGCGCTTCCAGTTGCGTTAAATAAAATAAAGAACTTTCTTGTAAAAAGTAATTATAAGTAACCTTACAAAATGTGCCTTTTGTTTGTAAAAGACCGGTGGGAAGAAATACAACAGATTAAGTCTATTTGAATAGTTTGCCAACTACATATTTATGTAAGGGCTCTACAAAACCTGGTTCCCAAACCAGAATAACTACACGAATTGGACTATGGACCAATAAAACGGTCAGAATGAATCGAGAGAATAGACAAAAACGAAAATAATAAGATTTATAATACCTAAAAATGTGTGAAAAAACATGTACAAATGTGACTGGTTCCTAGACATTATAAGTAACTCAAACTTGATAAGAAAGGTTAGGCTTAAAAAACAGAAAGCGACTTGATAGACAGGCAAAATACTTTGTCTTGTGGCTATGAAACATTCTTTATCCCACTCTAGTCAATAAAAGTGATGTGATGAAGAAAAGCACATATTTGTGTGTGTCCATGCAGCAACCGTGGGATTTAGTTTGAGCAATTGCTATCATGTAGAGATTGCCTGTGTGAGGCAAATGACGAAACTGCTATTCTATGATTAAGAACCCAATAACAATTAGATAATGGCTGAGATTAATATCTAACGACTATTGGTCAGGATGCCAGTCTCTTACGTTAGTTGGCTAGCCCGACAGCCGAGACAGAACAACACAGGGCGGATTCTATTTGTGCAGTTCCGCTTTATAAAACGACTCATATAACATTATACAATAGGTTCATGGTCACATAATCGGAAAAGTAAGGAATTACAATACAGGCAATACCACGTCATACGTGGAAGGAAAATAATTGACGAGTTGGTGATTATTTGACACTAACTTCGGAAAGGCGAAGTATACAAATTTGTAATCTCAAAAAAGCTTATTTCTATGATTTCCTTGTATTATAGTTGGGATCAGTTCATCATATGAACACTAACTTCTAACTATAACTTCAGATTTTAATATCCGACCCTATTCGGACTTTAGAAAGAGAAAAATCAGTTCATTTAAAGATGAAAAAGGATTCCTAATTCGTTAATTATACACTTAAATGCTGCCTATGTTGCAGAACTCAGTTTATAACATACTCTTCAAAAACCGTGACAAAGTAACGCACAAATTTAGGCTACGAGCATTTATATCCTATATCCAATATCTTTATCGCAAGCATGTATAAACCGATTGATTTAATTGAGCACCCTTCTTCTTGACTTAGTATGTCCTCAGATATTTGTTAGTGTCTACTGGATGCCATTATAGCATCTCGACTGCATTAACTCCATTCCTTTACGTGGTTACTTGTGGATTTGTAAATTTTGTAGTTGAGTGAGAGCGTTTTTCTCAGGGCAATATGGTTTCTAGATACCGGCAGCTGTCACGTTACCAGGTAGAACGTTAGTCGATTGCAATGTGAAAATAATAAAGTGATAATTCATTGGCTAATAGAAGATAATGGATTAATTGATAGATAAAACGTTTATTAATTGATAGTCCTGTAGCGGTAAATAAATCCCCAAAATAAATAGCCCTGTAAGTTTTCGACATTGGATGCCGAACACATTATTTTTAATGGACTCGTATAGCTAAAAGCGCTCTGTCATGCATCCATACCAGATCACGAGTGGGAACGTCGTGTTCAACATCCCTTGCAATCGTCAGCCAGTATAGATCAATTGATCCTCGATATTAATAGCCTATCAAATACATCTTCAAAAGCTTCTGTCTTTTATTTCCTTTGGTAGGTACGATTCATATTAGAAGGTGTCACCGGTTAAGGTGTTGTCAAACTCCGAATACCTGTGGCACTTTCAATCCAGATGCAGTTTTATTTGGAAGGTACAGGAGGTTGGATGTTCTGTGTAATACCTAGTAATAGTGATCTCTCAGTTGATCTAATTTTCTTTTGAATGCACAGATAGATGAAGCTTCAATCACTTGTTTAGATGATGAATTCCAACATTTGTTGACTCGATAGGAAAGTCGATATTTAGCTGTCTAGTTTAGTTAAGATACGTGATATCGCCCAGTCGAATTAAAACAACGTTAATGAGTGAACGTGGGTCCTAAATTTCATTATAAATTTAAGTGTACACTATAACCGAGAAAAATACTATTGCCCTGTTATTCAACCAATAATCATTCAGCCAGTAGTCAAGTCTAAGTTACACTACATAGTTAAACTGATAGAAGATATATGATAATTACCAAGTGCAAAAACAAAATGTTCCTACTGTAGGGTCAGCGAAATGTCACTAGGCCCTAGCCAAATCATCCGGCAGTTGGGTCATTGAATATCGAGCAAATCATCGATTCTCGTCAAGGTCAGGGACAACCAACGCGCACCGGTTAATCGTATACCATGGACTGGCCTATGCGGCAGTGGTCTTACTTTCGATTGTATCTACTTTAACTAATATATTTTTGTAATAACGTCCTCTGTGTTGTACAGTCTTCAAAGCGTCTATGGTACCTTGATGCGTCAATGGGGTAGTCCACGTAAGGTACTGACCATGATGTGTGACTTCGACGTTAGCTGGTTTGTCACACTATTCACGTCTAACTCGAGTAGACCTCCAATCACTTTCGACATAGATCATCTACGTTGATGATCTACACTACCAACATAGAAATGTTACTCCATACTTTCTAGACAGATTGTTGCAAGATAACATTTATATTCGTTAAATTCGTGTTTTCGATTCTGGAAAATTGCTTTGATTCATAACTCCCGTCGATTCAAGCTGCATAATCAAAATCAGGAGCGAATCAATGTGGCGGCCGCCATAACCAACTATTGACTAGAAAAATATAGATATAGTTCAGAAAAAACATGTAAATGCAGTGAATAATAATAATATATTTTTGCATGATCAGGTACACGCCAATTTTTACAGGCATGATTATGGTATTCTAATTGTCGTATGAACTAGGAATTCCAGGATTAACGCAATTGAATTAAGAAGACACAGGCACAACGAATGTATTGTATTTAGAATTCGAAATCAAGCATTCAACCAGTACCAAGGTATCATTAGTTCATTCAAACACCACATCCGCCACAGCTTAAATTGGAGTCTAGGTGTTTGTAATCAATCGTACGTCTTCTTCTCAAATTCATCCTGAGTCTGTCTGACATTGTATTGGATAAGGATTCTGTATTATCTAGAATATGCTCATTAGCATTAGAATTAACAATCGAAATTGGAACTGACTCACCTGGTTCCTGAAATTGTATTTGATCTACATGTCGACTGTGTGTACTTAAGTCATCGATGTCTAGAATTCGCACCATCGATTTTCCGACATTCTTCAGAACAATACCCGTAGATGGTCGAAGATCATTTCCTCGATAGTATGTAACTTCTGCAGACTCCAAACATCTCATATTCGACCGAAGAATTCTTCCTTTCAATAGCTTCGCTGGAGTCTCCTTCGTCACCGAATGTCTGGCATTTCTATATTGCAATAGAAAGGTATCTACTCCCCTCTCCAGCTCATTAAATGTTGAGGGGGCTATAGAATCAATAGCAGTCTTTAATGTCCTAACAAAATTCTCTGCCTGACCATTAGAACACGGATGTCTGGGAGCAGTAAATAGATGTTCACACCCTATACCGTTCAACCAGGTAGTGACTGCATCTGCAGCAAAATGTGAGCCATTATCAGTCACCAACACCAAGGGAACCCTTCTCGACTAAACACCTTTCTTAATGCTCGTATTGTGAAATCAGAATTTGGTGAAGTTGTGAAAAAAACTACTGGCCACTTTGAAAAAGAATCAATGACTACTAGTGCGTAGTATTTACCAAGAAATGGTCCACAATAGTCAGCATGAATCCTCTGCAAGGCCTCAGTCGATACTGGCCATGGCACCCACTTCGAAGGATGATTTTTCAACTGATGACATTTCTCACCATTGTTTGCCGTACGACATATATCTGCATTTATCTCTGGCCACCAGCATGTGAGCCTTGCCAAGGACTCCATTTTCTCAACACCTAAATGACCACTATGAAGATCTTCAAGAACAGATTTAGGCAATGAAGGAGGAATGACAACACGATCATTTAAACACAGAATACCATCAGGAGTAGTAGATAGCTCATCCAGCTTTGAAAAATAGATAGGAAATCTCCGTTTCAAATAGCATTCCAACCTTTCCTTAAGCACTGAGTATACATCCAAAATATCTACGAGTTTCTCTAATGAGATCTGAACGTCTCACTGGTAAAGTTGCACTAACAAACAATCTGAAGTATTAATAGGATTTTTGGATATGCCAAGTTTTCAATAAGCTGTACGCTTCTCTCCCAATGAATGTCAGAAAATGTGCCACAATTTTATCACCTTTAACATCTTTCTTGGTCATGCTCCAGATTTCGAACCTTTCCAAGTAATCCTCAAAAGCTTCAGGAGATGAATGAATATCTAACTTTTCCATTGCAGGCTTCATCGCGACGCCAATATGGTATTTTAATTGTC